ACCTCAACCTGCTTGGTGCCATGGCAAACACATGGTTAAAAACCTTTTTAATCTTTTATTAAAGATACAGAAACGAGGAGAAACAGTTAAAGCATCAGAAATGTAAAGTATTAAGTAAGGCTTTCATTTTAACAACATATCTTGTTCTCTTTCCCTTTAGCTGGAGAGAGTTTTCAAAGGAAAACCCCCTTTTTTGTCCTTTTTGGGAAAAAAGAAGTTAGCTGAGATGGATTGAAGCAGTTATTGCTGCTATTGTTAAAGTCCAATTCCATTTCATCCCAAGCAGTGTTTGGGATTGAGCAGGAGCAAGTAGGCGTGGTGATGTCATCTGGATACCTCTTTATGGTCTGGTCTGGTCAGGGCATCCCTCGGGATTAGGGCAAAGAAGGTCTGGGGTCACAGGAGATGATGGTGAAGCTTGTTTCAGTAGCTTCCATTTCTTCTTTCTCACCATTCTTCTTTCTCTCCATCTTTTCTTTCTGTATGATCATCATTCTCCCCAATGTCTCTTTCTTTAAGGACCCCAAAAGGGATTGATGGGTGGAATAGTCCATCTCATTATTTTGTCCGCCAATTAGGCCTAATATCTGACACACAAATTTTGGTTCATTAATTTCCAGTTCCTCATCTTCTGTTTTTACCAAGCATGATTTCAGCATAGTCCGCCAATTATAGCAACGTGGCTTTAGCTTTTTGTTTGGATTAATTTAGTGCTGGTTCTCTAGCATCTGTTTAATAACATTTTTTTAAATAACTTTATCTGCTTGCCGTCGTAAATGCCTAAGCAGAGAAAAGTTATAGACCTGTTTTCACAATTATTATCAATTGCCCTTGGAGGGGCAAATAGAAAGGTGATATCTGGGAAAAGAGGAAGGACTGTGGCAATTTTGAGGTAGTAGTGGGGGAGTAAGAGCTTAATATGAACAAAGGAAAGATCAGGTTTGAGAGATGAATGGAGCAAGAGGTTTTAGGGGGAAGACAGAATGAAGAAATTTAGAGGAATGAAACAGGAGGGGGCTAAGAAGGAAGAAAACATTAGGATATATCTACACTGAAAAAAAAACCAAAACCCTGTGGCAGCGAGTCTCGGAACGCAGGTCAACTGATTTGGGTTACAGAGTTCTCAATATGGGGCTAAATAAGTAGTGTAGATGTTCCCAGTCAGCCTGGAGCCCAGGCTCTAAAACACAGAGAGGGGAGAGGATCTCAGAGCTTGGGCTCCAGCCTGAGCAGGAACGTCAACAGTGCTATTTTTAGCCTCTAGCACAGTGGTTCTCAAACTTTTGTACTGGTGACCCCTTTCACATAGCAAGCCTCTGAGTGCGACCCCCTTATAAATTAAAAACCCTTTTTTATATATTTAACACCATTATAAATTCTGGATGCAAAGCAGGGTTTGGGGTGGAGGCTGACAGCTCGCGACCCCTCATGTAATAACCTCGCAACCCCCTGAGGGGTCCTGACCCCCAGTTTGAGAACCCCCGCACTAGTATGAACCCTGTGAGCCCAAGTCAGTTGACCATGGCTCAGAGACTAGCTGCCATTGGATTTTTTTTTTAATGTACACTAAGAGGCTTGGGGGGAAAAGATGCATGAGACTGTGAGATTGTGGGTAGGAAGGGGAAAACGTGGTAGGGAAGTAAGATTGAGGGAAGAGAGGAATGAGTCTGGGAAAGAAGGGCAGTGAGTATTTGTGGATGAAAGAGGATTTTGGCTCTGTAAAACAGGATTGCGGGAGAGGCTTTTGATGGGGAGAGAGTGATGGGAAAGATTGGAGGGATTTATAGGAGACTTGGAAACAAAAAGTGCCAGCAAAAGGGTTACTGCTGGCAAAATCTAGCGGAACACAAGAGGGGATCTGGCCTAAGAGTAAGATAGGGGAAGTGCAGGGGTGATATGGGGATTATACTGTACTTATTTGGGGGTGGCACTGTCAGGGCCGGCTCCAGGCACCAGTTTGTCGACAGCAGGTGCTTGGGGCGGCCGCTCCGGAGAGGGGCGGCACATCCAGGTATTCGGCGGCAGTTCGGTGGACGGTCCCTCACTCCGCCTGGGAGCGAAGGACCTCCCGCCGAATTGCCGCCGCAGATCGCGATCGCGGCTTTTTTTTTTGGTTTGGTTTGGCTGCTTGGGGCAGCCAAAACCCTGGAGCCGGCCTTGGGCACTGTGATACTATACAGGAGATCTTTGCATCCACATAATTACTCCATGTCACCTCACCAGGGCCGTCCTTAGGATTTATGGGGCCCTACGCAGTATTATTAGACTGGTGCCCCTATGCTCCACTGAAGGTGCTGACCCCAGTGTGTCGAGGGGGCACAGCCACCACCCCCGCCCATGGACACCCAGAACACTCCCAACAATGGCTCAAGGCAGGCTTTGCGCTGTCACATGGGGGCTGCATCTTGCTAGAGCCCACGGCCCTCCGGCAGCCCCAAGCCACTCCTGCCTCACCATGAGCATTTTGACAGGAAGTACCAAGCAGTAATAACAACACTAATAATACATGTGTGTGTGTGAGAGTGCATGACAGAGTGTGTGTGTATGTGTGTGAGAGAGAGAGCCATAGCTTGTGTGAGAGAGAGAGAGTCACTGTGGTGGACTGTGTGTTGGGGGACTGTGTGACAGAGTGTGTGTTGGGGAGTGTGAGACTGTGTGTGTGTGTGTGTGTGACAATCTGTGTTGGGGGACTGTGACTCGTGACGGACAGTGTATGTGTGTGTGAGAGCCAGTCTGTGTGTGAGAGAGACTGTGTGTGTGTGTGTGTGTGTGTTAAGGAAGTGTGAGAGACAGTGAGTGCACAGCACTTTAAGTCCCTTCCTTACCCCTCCCTGCTTGACCCGGCTCCCTCCCTCCTCACTCACATGGAAGTTTCACTTCTGTCCTGGCCCCGGCCCAACCCCCACCGGAGACCAAGAGGCACAGGCAGGTAGGGTCCAGGGAGGAATTCCGCTTCGGGTGGCGGTGGGCTGGGCCGCCGCGCTGCCAGTGACCAGCTGCGCTGCTCTGGGCTCTCCAGGGCTGGGGCAGCAGAGCTGGAGGCTGGAGCGAGTGCGAGAGGGGGTAGGGAGAAGCCCACCGGCCCAGCGTGCGGGAGGGGCCGGAGAAGAGAGGATTCCAGCCGCGGCGGGGCCAGCGAGGGGAATGGTGTCCCAAATTTGTGGGTGCCCTATGCAGCCGCGTATGCTGCGTATGCCTACGGACGGCCCTGCACCTCACAGGGTTGCACCCTACAAAAACTGACTCCTTCCTCTGCAACCTGTGTAGCTGTATAGCAGCTAAAGGCCTAAATCTTGCTTAAAGACTGAGGACTTGTCTCATAGGCACCGACTTCCCCTCTACCTGGTGGGTGCTCAACCCCCCCCGATCCGGGCTCTGCACCTGCCCCACCTCTGGCCCCACCCTGCCCCACCCTCTCCCCACCCCCATTCCACCCCTTTCCCAAATTCCCCCACCCACCCTGCCTTTTCCCACCCAGCCCCGTCCCCTTCCTGCCCCCATTCCACCCCCTTTCCCCACTTCCCTGCCCCTGTCCTGCCTCTTCTCCGCCTCTTCCCCTGAGTGCACTGGGTCCCTGCTCCTCCCCCTCCCTCCCAGAAAGTCCTAAGTGCTGCTAAACAGCTGTTAGGCGGCGGGGTGGGGGCAGGAAGCGCTGGGAGGCAGGGGGAGGAATGGGGACACAGCATGCTCGGTGGGGGGGGGAAGGAGGCAAGAAGGGAAGAGCTTGGCTGCCGGTGGGTATGGAGCACCCTCTAATT